AGAGTGCATGGCGCGTGCCTAGGGTTGACTAGCGCCCAAATCTTTCTCCTTTTTATTCTTTTCACCACTGCCTTTACAATTGCTCCTTTACAGATGATCATTGGCACAATCGTTTCGTATCTGATCAGTTTACATGACCGATTCGGAGTCAAAGTCATAGGAGTGATACCTACTGGGTAAATCTGCAAGCGTAATCGTCCACACTGCAGTCTTGTTTGCTGCGCACGCTGGGACGTGACAGGCTGGGTTCAGCGCGTCCTCAGCCCGTTCTCCACTAATTGTGGAAGCTGGTGGGCGACCACAATTAGTGGAAGACGAGCTGGCGCCGCGCCACGTCAGCCCCCTCTGCAACTTCCCAGCATCCGCAGCGAAGAAAGCTGTATAACGAACCGAGAATCCTGAGAAACTCCTGACCAGATGATATTTCAGATTACCAGCACCGTCACTCCCGGACGTGTCGTTGTTTCGTTACTTCCTCGGCGATGCACTGGCCATTAGTGTTGTAGTTTTAGTGGTAACTGTTTCTATGGGGAAATTATTTGCCAAGAAACACAAGTACACAATAGATGTTAGACAGGTATGAAAATGGTCTCTCAGAAGGTAGAAGTAGTCTGTCAATCGCAGTGCCTCAAGTTACAACAAGGGCTCACGATTCACTGAAAAGAATATTTGACACTGTTCTTGCTGGGTCTCGTTCGTCACTCGGAACAAAAAAATCAGGCAAACAGTGTTCCGAGTGACGGGCGAGTCCCTAGCATGTAAGGTGAAAGTCCATGCTGCCGATCTGATTCTTCGAAAGTGGGCGGGGCGTCTTCGATGAGCTTTTCATAGTGGGCGGGGATTCAGTGAGCAGTCCAAAATGCAACGATTTTGAAGGAGCATCAAAGTTTCGCGAAAAGCCGCAAAGTGGGAGTGGCGAGGGGGGTGGAGCAAGTGCCAGTGCATGATTAGGCGTCTACGAATACCTTCGTTGTAGAAGAGTGACAAGACAACGAACGACCTTGAAAAAAGTTACGGAAAACCAAATGTTGAGTTCTCCAAAAAAGAGGGCGGGTTTGCTCATGAGCCCGCGTACAGTACTTTTCAGCGAGTGTTTATGTGCGAAGCAATAAAAATGTAAAAAAGTCACAAAAGCAGAAGTTATAAAACAAAATTTGAAAAATCACGACCACGCTGAAATGTGGGCGTGGCTGTAGGGGCGGGGCTTGCAGTAGTGTCTGTTGAAGGCATGGGTAACTAAAACTTGAATCTGGAAAGTTGTGAGTTTGGTTTGGAAAGTTGTGAAATTGGTTCGAAAAGTCGTGAACTTTGTTTGAAAAGTTGTGAATTTGAAGTGAAAATAGAATATATTAATACATTCCACGATAAACGGGTAGGCTGGTGGACAAGACGACCACCTTGTACCATTTTCGTTGTTGCGCCCCTCTTTCTTTCACCGTGAATAAGGAGCAGCGCGTGAATGAGAAGGGCGCTGCAGTTGTGAGTCTCCACCCATCTTTCTCCGCCCATCAAATTGACTCGAAGAGTATTTGCAGTGGAGTCGGGTTGGCGCTACCACCATCCCCACTAAAATGTGCGGACCTTGTTCGCTGGGGTTGCTAGGGAGTGTCAGGGAGGTTGAGTTTTGCGCGGCTCCACCTCGTTTTCCATCGTTCCGTGCCAGTGCACCCGTATTTGTGTTCTGCTTGGGCCGAGCTTGGGGAAGGGATCAATTCCTCCCTGGACGCTGGCGCCGCACCATGCATGTGAAAATCGTGATCAATTTGAAGACTAATAGTGGCATAAGCGAAATCAACTCGCTGGGAACGATGTGCAGGATGGTTGAGAAAAACTTGAGCCCGGACTAAAAATGACTGCGATATCAACAATTAAGACAGACAAGCCCAACAGTTTAACATTACTCCGATTCTGGCAGGAAGGGTGTTGGTCCTTTTCCAGTAAGTAATAATCTGTAGGAATTCTATGGGGTCTAGCGTGTGCAATATGTCTAAAAAGTGGCGTGGCCGAGAGGGCGGGCAAATATGGGCACTCGATAATTGCTCATTACGTGTACATTATTTCCTTGAAAAGATCACCAGAAACGGATGTCGGTGAATAAAGTTATAGACTGGCAAAATTTTCAAGAAATCCAGTAATAGGTGGGAGGAGTCATTGGGGGAGGAGTCAAGTGTCAGATGTATTCAAGTATACTCATATGTGATAGATGAAAACGTAAACTTGCATAGATGTAGTACATAGTGTATATTGTGTGTAATATGAGTGTGAATTGTGCTGTGGTAAAAAGGGAAGTGGTTATCTGGGGCAGGGCACGTAATGGGACTATTGTATGCAATATACAGTCCTCATCATTGCGGACCGGTGGGGCGTGTCAGCCAGTATGAGTGTGCACACTGTTGAAGCCGTTCTCAGCCTTTTTGTTGAAACGCGTATGCGACAAAAAGTGGTAGAAAACGAGTAATACGAAGGATATAATACAGTAATGTCACTTGCCCGCTTCAACAACTGGTGCAGAACGACTTTGGCACCGCGCCAAACGCAGCCGCACTGACACGCCCCACCGGTCCGCAATGATGAGGACTGTACATGCGGTGAGCGCTCCGCGCAGGATGGCAAAGAAGCAGCTTCGCGGAAGATTCGAAAAAAAGAGATCAGCGTATTATTCAAGCACAATAGTTGTCTTTTCCAACAAGCAGTAATTTCTAGGAATTCTATGCGCTGGGCTTCGTGGAGATTCTTTCCTCATTCTTCCCTGTTTGGCCGTCATCAACCGCACTGGCTCGTTCTCTTGTCTATGAAGCCGCTGGAACAAAGACACAGGTATTTTCATTTGTCTCCTAGGCCGTACATCTTCTGTCTACTGATCAATTTCGATAAATCTCAAAAAATTGAATTAATATTTAACTAGTTGAGAATATATCAATCCTACTGATATTTTATTTATTACAGCTGGGCAGCGTGTTCTCTTCCATCCTTCTACTGGCTGTCATCTTTTTCATAGGACCATTCGTTGAAGTACTGCCAATATGCTTTCTGTCCTGCATCATTATTGTAGCCCTGAAAGGAATGTTCATGCAGCTCAGCGTTATCCCTCTGTTGTGGCGGACATCAAAAGCTGATTGTGTAGGTCCTAAGGTTTCAGATGACGTCATCATCTAAGCAGAATTTCGAAACCTTATAGGCCATTTTTGTGGTGAGCTTCGTTGCCACGGTTGTGTGCGATGTCGTCGAAGGCCTCCTTATTGGAACGTTCTTTGCAGCAATACTACTTGTACATGGAATTCAAAAGTAATAATTAATAACTACAGCATTATTCTTCCTCAAGAGATACTTCTTTTCAGGGCAAAGGTTGTTGAAATAGGCCGACTGAGCCACAATCAAGGCCAGTCATACTTCCAGCCCATAGAGCATTACAGGTTCGCTAACTTACGCTTTACTTTACAACCTTCATAAGCAAGTGAGCAGTTGCTCGGTTCATAGATTCTTGAGTTTCGAGCCGTGCTGTGCACGTACAACTTGTGAGCGTGGCTAAATACCCATCTTCTTTCACCAAGAAAAAGGAATTCTATGTTTTTTTTTGGTAGGCGGAGCCTTTTGGACTAGTGCACCTTTCTTATTGGCGGCCCCTTCTCCTAAGATGACGGAAAGGGGAGGCTCACCAGTGAAAGAGCTACAATGCTCTAGCGACCCCGCCCATATATCCGCCCATATAATGAGCATGGAGTGTGCTTAGTAAGGATTCCAGTTCCCTCTCCGATTTTGGGAACGTAACAAAAATCGTGATGAAGGGAAGATGACCCTCTTCCATGTTGGGATTTCTGGCTTTCTCTTTTTTCAAAACCGAATTACTTCATAAAATTCATTCCAATTCCACATTCTCGCTTATCCGTGATATGGTCTACCTCGTGGGCTCAAAAAAAGAACGGAACCTATTGTACCACTCTTTCAAGCTCCTCTCAGAGCTGCTACGGTGGAAAGTGTATTTTTCACTTTTTCCAATTTCTCGTATGAAATGAGACAGTGGAGATATCAGGTACTTCAAAACATGTCATGCTGTCTTGGGGAGAGGACACAGGCAAGCAGCTATCACACTGTCCAATGTGACCCTGGGGCATAACTCCCCTATGTATTTGTACTATTCCATATTGGATTGTCCCGAACTTGGAACTGTCACCGAACTATCCTTGGTTCAATTATAGTAAAGGCACCGACGCTATTCTGATGGCGTGCCGACCGACTGATTATCCCCTTCCCCTGATGTTCCCTCTAACTCAGGGCCCAGTGGCGAGGCGTGGACCAAACATCACGAAACAAGGACTCATGGCAATAATTTAACATTTTTCCGTCAATTCTTGTTTGAATTTCCTCTTTGCAGAGACGCAGCGATACGTGACGGTGTGTGCTGTGTCCGTTTTGCAGCTCCCATCGTCTATCTGAATGCAGAAAGATTCAAAAAGAGTGTCGATGATGTCATACAACTCCCAACATTAGAACGAAGGTTCGCCATTGTTGTGCTTTTCACAAAGAACAGTACTTCTCGAAAATCATTTGGAAACTCCTCGAATTGGACATTCAATTTTCTGGGAATTTGGCCGATTTGTGATTTTATTGGAGTTATTAAAAGACACTGAACACTTCGTATTCAAAAATTTGAAGTAGTTCTAGAAACTAGGGTAACCTTCGTTATCTCCCATTATCTGAACGTTGGACCTCGAAACGTTTGGAACAAGTTTGAGTGGGAAGCACTGAATTTAGAGCGCAGTCCACGTTGAAGAGGGGGTGTCAAGATGCCGCTAGTCTCATTAGTGGAAGTGATTCGCGTCACACCTACAAGCGTTGCGAATGGTGAAAGGATGTTGTGATAGACCCCCAGTGGCTTTCGTGTAGAACGTGGAGTGTGCCTTCAAGTACAGCCTTGTTCGATGCGTATGCTGAGGCGTGGCAGGAGACTAGGTTTGGCGCCGCACTAACCGGTTCTCCATTAGTTGTTGGAGTGAGCCAGCGACAATGACTGCTGGATAGCTGGC